CTGAAGGAACTGGGTCTCTTCAGCCTGGAGAAGAGGAGACTCAGAGGGGATATGTTGGCGACTTACAGTATGTGAGGGGTGTCACACGGATGTGGGTAGAGACCCATTTTCTCCTGCAGAGGAGGGCAGGATGTGCTCCAACGGAGCCAAGCTCAAGGAACCATGGTTCAGTTTGGATGCCAGGAAGTACTTCCTGACAGTTAGGACCCCAAGGCTATGGAATGGGCTTCCACGGGAGGTGGTTGAGGCCCCATTGGTGAGGGTGTTCAAAGATAGGCTGGACATGCACATGGTGGGCATGTCGTGAGCGGAGTCAGCTGGAGCCGGGGGTCAGACTGGATGACCCAGAAGACCCCTTCTGACTCGCTCTGTTTCTATGTTTCTAAGATAATACATGCAGAGCTACTTTTTGCTGTGACAGGTAACAACCCCTGTAGGTTACCAATCCTTTATAGAAAAAAGGATCCCCATCTCTGTCCTACCTGAATCAGTGTAGTGATTAGCTATACTCACCGGTAGACCAGCACTCTACAAAGGCATTCCCCCTGTTTAGTGTATATAATATCCATGCCAGGAAGATAATTATGCTGGTAAAGGGAAAGGCCTTTGGAGGGGTTTTTTAATATCTGGAAAGGAAAAACAGTTCTTTAACCTAGTTTATTAGTTAAGGTGTTTTGACTTATATGAAAAAATGGGCCCCTCTCCAGCAAGGACATCTGCTTAAACAGCTGCAAAGCTGCTGGCTCACATCCCTCTCTTTTGACATTTAGTAAAGGTCTCCACTAAGATCACCTTCTTGGACTAGGTAATCTTTAATTAAAACAGCACCTTCTGCCACATGGTCTGTCAGCATTTCCGTTACAAGCTGCATTTTTTCAGGTGTTTGGCTGCAAAAAGTTATTCTTACCAGTGAAACATGACACACCAAACCGCTGCTTTAATTACTGCATCCAAAAGCTTGTACTGTTTTAGAACATAATGCAAAATGGGTTGAGGTTTAAGTGCCTATTTATATTTTAGCTTTTTTCCCCCCAGTTGGAGTTGAAAATTACAGGGCAGAATTTTCTCAAGATAAGGCACACAGAGTGGGTTCACATGTTCAAAACAATCCGGAGTGGCTCGCTTAATTGCAGCTTATTGGACAGTCTCACAACACAACTCCTTGGGGATGTTAACCATGCACTGTGGTTAAAACTCCTCGTTGCCCAATGGCTCCTGCTGTCCCTCTCCCTTCATCCTCTTGGGGACACTGCAGGGGCACCAGGATGTGTCCTGAGCCACCGCAACCCATGTAGCACCGGCTTCACCTAGATTTTTTTAAGTGCCTCGGTGTAATCCATACCTGGAAAGGGAGGGTGGTGGAGGGGCACGTGAAGTTTCCCCCAAAAGGACAAGGATTCAGCTGCAGAGGGTGCTTTTGGCTTCCCTACCCTAAAGAAAAAATAGTTGAAAAAATAATGAAAAAAATGCTGAAAAGTTAGTGAGCAAAAGGCTGCAGTGTTGCAGTTCAGCACAGTGCACCTGGACGCAGAGTAGATGCAAATGGGAACTCTGTAGCTCACTACGATTTATAACTTTTTTTAAAAAAAGGTGAGGATATATATAGAGAGAGCCCCCTTTATGGCAGCATCCTTGGGTTTTTGGGTACTCCTGTGACCCAGGCTGATCTCATTTTCTCCTCAATGAGCCTGTCTTCCAAGCAGGTCCTGGATTGCTTTGGAGGAAGCCATGATCATCGCCTTGGTTATGCAGTTTACTGTGACTTCATCACACCTGGGGAAGTGGCAACTCACAGGGTGCAGGGCATATAATTTGAAGAGACGGGCCTGCCTTCCTGCATGGGGTTTCCCCACATTTTGCAGTACTCCCCCCCCCACACACACACACCCAGTGCTAACGGGAGGGTGAGAAGCCTTTCCCAGCTGTCCCGAAGTTCTCCTTTGGTACTTTGGGGTGCCTGGGAAATGTGGCTGCCTGGGAGTCTCTTGGCTAGTGCAGCAAACTTTCTGCTGCTCTTGCCAAGGGAATCTCTTTGGACTTCATTATGACTTACTGTCCTGTATAGCTCGGGCAACACAATAAGCCCCTGTTTGTGGAATGTCTTGCCCACCAAAGCCAGGCTGGTGCCAAGTCTGTCATCTTTCTGGTGCTGAGTGAAGACCTCCCTCCCTCTCTCGGGCATTTACCAAAATTTCACTTTAGCTGTTATAACATTTTAAAAGTTTGCATGTACAAATCGTGTTGATTTTACACTTTTTATTTTTGGTATCTCACTTTATGAATTGTTTTGAACCACCCAGTCAAGTTCAGCTAGTGGGCAGTATATGTCAGGATCTGGGCAACTCCAGGGCTCCATCTGTTGCTCAAGCACCACAACCACCCTGGGGGTTGCTAGTTTAGTCTGAGACCCTCCTGTAGCTTGCAGGGCCTTCATGAGCACCACCTGGGAGTCCTGGGGGAAGAGCAGGCTCTTCCCTCCAGAAGACATCTCCTGAGTGCTGTAGTGCATTTCTGTGCCTGCCTCCAGCCTGACCCGGTTTCTGCCTTGCCTCACCTTGTCCTGCCTTTCCTTGCCCTGTCTTGCTTCCTTGCCTTGTTGCTATGCCTGGTTATCCTGTCTTAGGGTACTTCCTGCTTGCACTCTCATCTTGTTGGTCATTGACCTTTTGCCTGTTGTGACTAGGTCCTTGCTCTGCTATACTATGTACACTTGGTTGCTGACTTTGTCCGGTTGTGTGACTGAGTTGAACCTACTGTTGAACCTTGCTATTGGACTTTGGACTCTGTATTGCCTTGGGTCCTGTTGCCTGAGTCTTGGCGCATCTGCCTTATTTCCTGCCATCCACACCCTGGACCCCAAGAGTATACAAATGAAATAAATAACAAAATTAATAACACCCCTCTTACCTCCTGTGTGCAGTTTCAGAGAGATTTTCAACTAACCACAGTCTGTTCTGTGGTATTTTATGTCAACAAATGTGGAACTTTAATTTGTCTTAACTATGTTTTAGGGAAACATGTTTCTCTAAACTATACTTAAGGCTAACCACAGTTTGTCTGGGTTTGTTGAGAACAATGATGTGTCATTGGTTGAAAATGGAAGTGGAATCTTGTAGTCTCCTCATGGTCACACTAGAGGAAGAGAGCGAACCCGAGACTTGTTCACAGAACGACAAAACATACCCTTTACTACAAAAGAAAAATGTGGTTACACAATAGTCAGTGTTGCTGTTTTGAGGGTTTTTTTGAAACATGTTTAGCCTAAGGGTATACTGATCAGATGTCCAAGTATTCATCATGACAGCACTGCTAGTGATAAAATGTCCTCTCAGTGCAGCAAGGGGTCCTTGGTTCCTTGTAGAACAGATGGTAGATCTTTACCGAACTACCATTCACATTTAAATCCAAGAGTTACCAGTATCTGAATGCACTGCTAATGCAAATTGAAGTTAATAATCATAGTCTTTTAAAATTGAATCCATGAACCCCTATCCAGACAGAGTGAGATAAGCCTTCTATGCACAGGAATAAAAGAGGCAAAAAACAGCCACTTTTTAGGTTAGCACTCTTGCTTTATCTGTGAAGGTTGGGATCAGTCATTTACTTGGAAGGTAAGACCACTCATTTCCTTGAAACACGCTCTCAAACATGCTTAATGGGTATTGCAGCCCTTTCAAAGAAGAAGAACCCTACCTGAGTGGCACTTCCATGTATAGACGGGCTTCATCAATTTACATGCATTCCTGGTTCTTCCAGCACCAAATCAGAGGATCCCCCAGCATCCTAAAGCAAGAGTGGGGGGTTCACAGTCAACCTGTCTCCTTTGAAGGGTAAGGGAGAAAAATAGCATAATTTTTGATGGACAGATTAATCTCATCCATAATTCAATTTGCATTAAAATCAATGTAGCTCAAAAGCGTTTAACCTTGACTGGATACTTGCAACATTTTCTGCTCTTTTATTGCTATTTACTCTGATAATGTGAATGTTCATTCACATTCTTCATTCTCTTAGAGGAATTTGTTGTCAGGATTTTGTTGGCAACCATTATTTGATTATGTTGCTTTTGCAAAAGGTTAATTGCTATCTTTTGTTTTGTTGTGGTGTTCCTCAGTTGTCCTTGCACATCGATATGGATGAAAGGTACCAAATAAGAAAAACTGACAAAGTGTATATCCTAGCGGATGCCTTTTAGCCTTGTTTTTGCAATGCTTATTCTTTTTCTGAGCTTGAGCAGTGGAGGCATAATAGTTGGTACCCGGAGGGACAGTTGTCTCATTTGAATTAGAAATTTTCAGCTTCTTTGCTCTGCATAAATGGTTAATTTATCACAAGAGGTAAATTGCCTGGGCAGGATACAAAGACTGAAGGTTCCACTCTTGGGATTCTTGCTGTGCAGCAGGGAAACAACTTCTTTCAGCTCAAGGGCTGAATGCTGTTCCCAGAAACTACCTTCCAGCAGTGGAGGGGCCCTACAAACAAAAATGGCAGCATATTGTAAAGTATTTATTGCTTTGTTCTTCCAAGGAAGGAAAGAAAGAGACACTAAGATTGACACACCCTTGACAGGGGGAGAGATATAAGAAGTGAGAAAAAAATAACATTTTTTAAAAAGAACTTCCTATCAAATAACCACAGCTCATGCTGGGCTTTGGGACATATGTTATTTGCTGCCTTTTGCCTCATCTGAAATCCGTTGGGATGGGCGTCTTTGAGATGCACGATCATTGTCCTCCCTCAGCGTTTGCTATCATTCTTGGAAGAAAGGGTCAGTGATGAATGCAAGTAATTTTGTTTATTGGTTTATTTATTTAATTTCTCTACTGTCCAACAGCCAAAGCTCTCCTTTGAAGGGTATACAGTGATTCCTGTCATTGAGATAATTTTTTTGTGCCATTCATTTAACAGTTTCCAAATTATCTGCACATGACAGACAACATGCAGGAAACCTATTGAAGTTTCTGGTTCAATATATCTGCTTCTCATTTTCTTCCATTCAGTACTGATGGCTATTGTTTTGCCATGGTAGAAGATGAAGATTCTGGCGGGCAGACCTTCACCACAGGCTGTATAGGATTAGAAGGTTCTGACTTCCAGTGCCGGGTAAGAATATTTTCTGGGCTGGGCTTGTGTTTTCCATTGTTTTCTCTGAGCATCAGCCTAGTTCTTGTCAGGAAAAGAGACAAAGTGTTCTGTGCTCTTCCTACAAGACACTTCCACTTCCTGTAAGGGCCAAGCTATGAATTTCTTTGTAGCCTTTCCCAGTGGCCCAGCCATGTGGACAGATGCACAGCCTGTATCATTGTAGCATTTGGGAAAGGATGCCTGTCACAAGTAAATTATTGGATCAGCCTGCAGGAACAGTCAAGAGTAACCTAGCAACCTTCCAGCCTGGAAGGAAGTTTCATTGCAAACGCTGGACTTGCTTACAAATGCACTGCTTTAATAATGGGTTCATAATGTGTCTGTATTACCTAAGTGTCCATCTGCTCTCAAGAGCCCAGGTTCAGCAGCGATATTAACAGCACTGTTCTCTGCAGGTTGAATCCAGAATAAAATCCCACTGTGCTCATGGAGGCTTCCTTCTTAGTAAGATGCTTAGGATTGCAGTCCTTATGTGTTAAATCAGAATGAAATCTAGTGGGCTTAATATATTTGATGTTCGCATCTGCTTTCCTCCTCATACCCAAGACATGCTGATCCCTGTGCAAGAGTTTCCTGCTGCCATCACTGTCTCCACATTACCAAGGAGGCTGCCCTGTCCTTCTAGTACTGCCTGCTAGAGCTGATGGCAGGTCAGCGGAGGGGTTTTTTCCCCCTGCGCACCCAAGAAAGGCCTGGTGAAAGAACAAAAGAAAGAGGGCAATGTGAACTGTAAGATTACACCTAGATTAAAATGAGGACCTTGAATTTCATTGTTTATACAAGGCTGAATGCAGTGGTTGCATCCGGTGGGAGATGCTTGGAGGGGAGTACCAACACAATGTTGGAGGGGAGAGCTGAGTGCCATCAGCCTCCAGGGCACCCCTTGAACTAGCTCACTGTTTTTAAGTGCCATTAAGGATGCTGTCCAGTTGCCAGAGCTAAAGATCTAACTGCTGTCTAGCTGGCTTTTAGGATGGGGGCAAAATGTCTTGGGCTGGCCTTTTCCCTATAAAAACACTTTGTCCTTTTTGTATGCATATGCTTTTCCCACCCCTGAGAGCTGTCAACATTTCTAATGCAGTTTGGATGTCTGTAGCTTTGCTGCTTGAGACCAAGCTACTTATAAGCATACCTATTGCAGGACACTCCATTGTCTCAACCAAGAAGATTAATTGCCTGCTGCACAGATCAAGATTTCTGTAACAAAGATCTTCACCCTACTCTGCCACCACTGGAAGAACAAGGTAATAGAAGAGGCAGGCCGTAGTTTCCAGTCTACACTCTACCATGGGAAAAAACAAGTCCTGCCAACAATATTTTATGGTGCCAGTGATGATACTGTCGTATAAGCTAGAGTGCTTTTTAAGCGTACCTGAAATAGTTTTCTGTGGATAAAACAGTGAGGATGTTGGACTGGGACTCGGGAGGTCCAGGTTCCGGTCCCCACTCAGCCATGAAACCCACTGGGTGACTTTGAGCTGGTCATGGGCTCTCAGCCTAACCTACCTCATAGGGCTGTTGTTATGCATTTAAAATTGAAAGGACGAGTTTTGCAAGAAGAAGAAAGATAGGGTATAAATGTGGTATAATAAAATAATGCAAATTCAGAACAATAATGATATTGGCTCTTCTCTAGACAAATTGGAGGATCCACAGCTGATAACCCTGATACAAAGGTGGAAAATTAAAATCTCATTTTTACCATTTCCTTTCCTTCGGAAACTATGCATTGAAAGGCACATTCCTAACACAACAGTCTTCCACTCAACATGTCAGAAATAGAATATGTTTTGCTTCTGATTCAGGAGTCTTATGACCCAGGGTTGCATCTCAGGAGACTTTAAGGTCTAAAGAGGTCTTCCAGCTGTAGGTCAGAGGTGGATGAAGTACAAATTAACCCAAGCACAGGGGTGATGCCCACAAAAGTTGAGATACTGTTCTCTGAAAGTGCTTTTCCATGCCTAGAATTTGCCAGGAAAGGAAAAATGTTCATTTTCAGAATTTGAAAGGAAGAAAAAAGTCGTATAGACAAGGTTATATCAGAATGAGGAGTTACAACTAACTAGGCAGGACGAGGGCAGATAAAGCCTTAGTTTTCAGGAATGAAAATAAAAATGCAACACGAGTTCAGCTACATTTGAAGTTCCAAATAGCTTTCTTGACCAGTGAATAAAATAAAAGGTCCTGATGAGAACAAGACGACCCTGTGCTTTTCAGGCAGTCTGCTGATTAAGAAAGCAGGAAAAATAATCAGAACCTAATATAACATTTCTATTTTAAAACAATAAAAAGTATTACTGGAAATCTCAATGAAAGGGCAGGCTGCAGGCAGATGAGAGGAGAAATCCGTCTTTACTGATTTAACGCCCTCGTAAGCAGAAGTGTTGGTGCCACCATGTCTGGCTCCCCGCCTGTATAGTTGGAGATTGAATGAGCTGGGCAATGATGGTTGGGGAAAGGATGGAGTTTGATATGTGAACAGCTTACAGTCGCTCTGCCTGCAGTTAAACCTGAACACCCTCAACCCTGTGGAAGAAGCAGAAAATGGGCCACTAACAGCTAGAAGATTCTGCGTTTCCCATGCATTGCAAACTTGGAGGGGAATATGCCTTTTCTACACTAACTTGAGCAGACTTTAGTTGCGCTTTTGCTCAAAGAAGCATCATGCTGAAATTGACTGTTGCCTAGGACTGTGCCAGAAGGGTTGTGAATATTGGTGTGTGCCTTCTCTTCTGCCCTTTAATTTGTCCCCCGTCTTAATTGTGCATTATTAATCCACTGAATGGCAATTAATACATGCACTCTAACAAACTGGCATGTGAAACACAATGCTTCACAAAACCATTTTGAAATGCTACCAGGGAGTAGCAGGTTATTTTAGAATTCTTTCCTAAGTTCGTTAGCTTCATGAACAATTCCTTTCCCCTTTACGGAAAGCAACAGTGACACTCATCCGTGGTCCTCGGAAATTACATGACTTCTTAAATACTGAATGCTTGTCTGTCTATTGCTGAATAATATTAGCTCCTGTCATTCTTCCAAAGGCTAAGAAGGAGCATTAATAATACACTCAGTCTTTATTTTGCACTGCTAACATATTCAAGGAAAATTGAAGGGGATGTGCCAGGGTATTCAGTCCTTTTCTTCTCATGTACCCTACTGTTTTCCATAGCTGTGCTTAGCATGAATAGAAATGCTAATGGAAAATATCTCTGCCTCTGTGTGTGTTTGGCATGTATATACTTCCCCTCAGTCAGGTGCAAATTTAATGTTTTCATTTGTTCCACTTATTTATAAACCATGCTTAAGTATCTCTGGATGAGGTCCACATCTTGTCCTCGGTGCATCACTGCAAATTGCCATTCCTAACAATTTTAGAGAAGCTGTCGTTGCCCACAATGCACCAAAATTTGGTGAAAATCCTGTTGAAATGACTAGAAGCCATACATGGTAGACCCCTCTTGTGCAACTCTTACTCATGTTGGAGGTGAATGCGCGTAATTTCCTGGTGGAGAACAACCTCTGTGCTTTCGGTTGTAAAACTGAAAATAGGCACTAATGTTTCCCAAGTCTCACACATGCAAACTGTTTTTGAAAATTTTCATACATGGTTACATTCTTCATGTATTCGACACTAATGATGTTTTAATTGAAAACTGCCAGTTTTTCACAGATAGCAGTGTCCTGGATGTTGTGCATCCTAATATACTCAAGAGCAGAACTGAGTCGAATAACATTTTGCCTGTTTTTGGAAATCAAAGGAAGCCCAAGTCTGCTGCTTTCTGTGTCTTATGGACTTATGATCTATGACGCTGGTCACACATTGCTGGCAGGAACAATGCAATCTAAGTAGTGTGATGACTTTTTCTTATAATGCCTTCATTTTGAAGGCAAATAGTCTGCAACATATTTAATATTATATGTGAGGTGTTTTGGAGAGAACAATTAACAGATCTGTATGTCTGATTTACAGTGATGTAGAGCATTTGTTCCCCATCTGTTGTGACCTGAGTAGCAGCCTTTTCCTTCATGGGGACAAGTAATCTCCCAGGTGGATTCTCACTTTCCAGTCCCCCTCAGCTGGAGCGATGGCTGATCTGCTGGCCTAGTGAGAAAGCAGCACTGTAGTGTTTTCCCCATTGCCAGTGTTCCCTTACAAAAGGGATTTCAAGCACAACAGCAGTGTCTTGAATGTTTATGCCACTAATGTGCTAGTAGTAGGCAGTGTTAGGTTAAAACAATGAACCCGATGCAAAGAGGAGATAACCCTGTGAGTTTGTCTCTCACATGAGAAGTAAGCTGGATGGAAATGTTCAGGGGCCAAAATAGAAGGAGAAACCTGGGCTTGGAAATAGAAGTGCATTATAGAAAGTGAAGAATCCCCAAGGAATCCCCTGTCACATCACTGTCGTAAACTTGAAATACAATAGCCCTTTTCCAGGCAGGATCAATAAGAATAGAGTTCTCCCAGTTTACGGCCTGCTCCTCCTTATCTTCTTCTAGGATGTCATAGAGTTTGTCCCAATCTGAGACAACCAGATGCATTTACATAGTGCAAATGCAGAAATTCACACTTGTAGTAGAGATCCTAAACTACTGCAGAGTCTTACCCACATTAGTGGTGGTGGCGAACTGGGGAGGCAGGATGCACGGTGGTGGGAATTGTCCTGTTAGGAAGCAGTAGGGTCATTACAGCCTCAGAGTTTCTGCTGTTGATAATTTATATGATTGCTATGCTTCGTTCTTATGATTTTAGTCATGCTTGTAAAGCCATCTCAAACACTTGGAGACACAGGATATAAACTGCATAAATAAGATAAATACAGTTACTTTCAGTCTGCTAAGTGTTTTGCTTTTAATTTGAGCTTTTGCAGAAGGAAACATTCACCACAAAGCCTTGCTGATTTCAGTAACTATCTGCAGTATTTTCTTGGTACTTATCATCATATTTTGTTACTTCAGGTAAGTGTATAAGCATTTGGTTGTTCCATTACTGTCCCTTCTTGCTGTTCTTGTTTTGAACTTACTTACTGTAAAGGTTAATTTAGTGATTTGGGGCAATTTAAAAAGAAAAGAGTTCTATATTCAAGTAATTTTGCAATGACACAAATGTTACAGTGGGGAAAACAGCTGGATTTTTATAGCATCTTCTGCAGTGGTCTTTCCAATGGAAAGTAATGCACATAAATGAAAATTGAGATGGACTGCAATACAAAATAAAATGGGATCTCTAACTTGACATCTTATAAATAGTAGCTAGTTTAGAGTTGCAGTTCCTTGAACTAGGATTTAAGTGGTGACAACAGCTTCCAAAGATTTTTGTGATCTTACGTGGTGGTGGAAACAGTCTTCAGGGAGGATGCTACCATATGGCTACAGTAATTTTTTAAAAAGCTTTTTTAAAGCTTTGGTACTATTTCAAGTACTGGCAGAGCTGAAATAATTAGCAGCAACCTGCAAACAATCTGTGATGCATCCAGCAGACGACTGGGGCCATAGCTTGTTCTCTCTCCAACCTTGGTCCTCCAGGCGTGATACCTGGATGCCCGTAATGGCAGAACCTAACATGAACCTTGCTTTGATGATTAGACACAAATTCTCAAAAATGCACAATTGGCATTGTATTTTTACTTGCGTTGGCCCCGAAAGTTCATGGTTTGTTTTTTAATTTCATTTTTGTCAGTCATAAGGCTGCTTTTACATGCTCAATAGATGCAATCTTCCCAGTCAATCTCCTTGACAGTTTCATTTAAGTGGAACAGTTAAGTGGAGTAAGTTAACAGATAGTGAAATTGACAAGGTGAGAGTGGACACAGGTTGCATTGTGCAGTCACTAGGAGCCAATTGCTGTGTTGCCAATTGAAGGATAAAAAGGGGGGAGCAGCAAAAGCAGATGCAAGAAAGGGGAGTGTAAAAAGGGTGATGTGATCTCACGTGATGTAAGTGCTGCATACATGTGGAGAAATTCTTAGCATCCTGCTGGTTGTGGTACCTCTACAAGTGTTGCAAGACCAGGGCAAAAATTTCTCTCACCAGCCATTGTAGGTTGCTGTAGTACTGATGTGTCTCAGATAGAAGAACACAAATCAGCTGGGGGTCCCAACTCTCCAGCCATTAATTGTGAAAAAGACACAGAAACAAAGGCAATATGTATCCTTAGTTTCACAGTTACCTATGGCCCATAAAGATACATCAAGCTCCATGGAATCTGTCACTCTAGTGTTCACAGAGTGCCTCTCATGCTCAAGCCCTGTTTTGGAAAGTGAGCCGAGCCAAGAGGAAGTGCGCAATGCTCGCAGAATGAAGGTTGCATGGCCAACAACATTCTTCTGCACGACAGCACAGACCATGACTGCTGCACATGACATGGAAAAGGGATGCGCTCATGTCAAAGCAGATGGCAATCCCAGTGGGCCAAATCCAGGGAACCCAGGGGACTCAAACCCTAAAGCAAATTCTTCACATATCCCTAGTGGTCCATACCAGGATGCTGGAACCAAAAGCCCATGGACTACTGGCTGAACCAGCAAACATCCAGAGGAGACTGAAAACTTTCGTTCAGCAGGTGGTTTTAAGGGGTTTCCCTGTTTGCTCAAGCTCCACAATGCTGAGAAATCATTTAACCACAATGCATAGTGTATGTATGTTCAGTTCCAGCTTCACTACTGTCTTGAAGCTGCATGGCTGTCAGTGGTGGAGCCAAGTCCCAGATTGGTTTGTTTGCTGGAATAGTCACATGAAATCTATGCAGCTGAAGGTACCATTCCACAGCACAAGCACGCGGCCAGAAACTAGCATCTTCCATACAGAATGACAGAGTTGGAAGGATCAGTGACAGAGGACTTAGCAAGGCCTCATCAGGCCATTTTTATCTCCTGCTGGATCTTCCAGGACTTCTGTGGGAGCATGATTTTCAATGGATTAAAGCCCTTCTTTTCCGAAGAGGTCTCTCCAGGGGCTGGGTTGGATGAGATACTGACAATAATGCACTAAGGTTCAGGATTGTATGTACACTTGTATTATCTTAGTTCTATTGCTACAACACTACTCATTGAAATAAATAGAGCTGGACACATGTTTTCAGACTCAAAAGATGTACGTTATTCCTTCTTTTGGTGAAATTAGATGAGACACTAAAATGCTTTAGGAAATTGAATATGCACCTCTACTGTTGGAAATTAAACAGACCCAAATAGTAAATTTTTGCCTGACCACCCACTGGTAGAGTCACCCATGTTTATTTTCATATAAAATGGCAGGTATAAAAGGCAAGAAAGCAGACCACCTCGTTACAGCATTGGGCTCGAACAAGACGAGACTTACATTCCACCAGGGGAATCCTTGAAAGACCTTATTGAACAGTCTCAGAGCTCAGGAAGTGGTTCTGGGCTCCCTCTGCTGGTAAGAAAAAAGTACTAAGATATAATAATAACATCAGCATAGAACTTCACTGCTACAGCATCGCAAGAAAAGCATATTTACATCAGAATGCAAAAATGATGCCAACAGATGCTTGATTCAGTGTAAGATACTGTGACAAAATGTTTGACTTCTTTAAGGCTGTAGCATAAAATTCAGGCTTCAGGGGAAACAGCTAGAGGGAATCCAGTGTAATTCAAGTGTGATAAAGCTGATATTGTAACAAAATATATAACATGACATTAAGATTGTCATCTTTATCAGAAGCATGGCAAGTGGTCAATAAAGCATCAGTTTCTAAAGAATGAATCCAGGATATGAAGCAGGAAATGAATGGCCACTTAGTGTAATGTCTGTTCTGGATAAATTGCTGGAAAGTTTTATTAAAGATAAAATTGTCAAATATATAGAAGAGCCATTCTTGCTGAAGAAGAATCAGTATGTCTTCTGCAAAAGCAAGTCCTGTCTCACAAATTTTTGTGTATTATTTGAGAGGGGATAGGATAATGGGGTAAATAATTTTACTTGGACTTTCAGAGATTCCTGAGGTAGGGGTACTTTTATGGATCAGTAATGGGTGAATTAAGGAAGGGGGCATTAAATGGATTTAAATAGTACTGGGATTTAAATAGTATTGGGACCATTACATTGAAATTTGTTCTTAAATGATCTGGAGTTCAGAGCGCAGAATGAGGTGGCCAAAGTTTCTGACAATGCCAAATTATTTTTGTTGATTAAAACAAAAGGATAGCAAAGAGCTGCAAACAGATAGTACTGGAATGAATAGACAGGCAGACAGACAGACATTAAAATCTGAGCAAGTCTAAAGTGATGCTTGTTGGGAAGCAAAAAATATCGTAAGTGCATATATGCCCTGATGGGTCTGAGCTGGCAATGAGAGGCCAAGAAAATGGTCTTGGGGTTATGTGTGCCCGTGAAAGTATTGACTCTTGTGTGTCTTCTGTGGAAAAAGCAAATTCCACGTTGGGTATTACTGGGAAAGGAATTGAAAAAAGAGTGAAAATGCCCTGAAGCTTTTATATAGATCTGCAGTGTGACACTTTGACTACTGAATACAGTTTTGGTCACTGCACCTAAAAAGCATCTTGTAATGCCAGAGGAGGCGTGAAAAAGGACAGCAAAAATAATCAAGGGGCTGGATTAGGGAAGCTTGTAATAGTCAGGGCTTCTTTTGTCTGTCTTGTTTAAAGATGATGAAATGATAGAGGTATGTGGATTATGAAGACACTACATTATAAAGTTATATGGAGAAAATTGAAAAGGGAGAAGTCTCTTTCATAATCCTGGAGTCTGAGGTCCATCCTATGAAGCTGAATTGTGGGAGATTTCCACTGACAAATGGAAGAAGTTCACACAGCACATAGTGTTGCATAGTGTTGGAGTCAGTCTGCTTTCCACCTTGAAAGCTCACTGGGTGACACTGGATTAGTCACAGCTGCACAGTTTCTCAGGCTAATATGTGGTGTAGTGGTGAAGAGCATGGGACTGGGACTGGGACGACCTGGGTTCTAGTCCCCGCTCAGCCATGGCGCCAACTGGGTGACTTTGGGCCAGTCACGGACTCTCAGCCCAACCTACCTCACAGGGTTGTTGTTGTGGGGATAAGATGGAGGAGGGAATGTAAGCTGCCTTGAGCCCTTTGTAGAAAAAGGCAGGATATGAATTGAATGAATGAATGAATGAATGAATAAATAAATAAATAAATAAATAAAATACCTCATAGAGTCGTTGTTGCAAGGCTAAAATGGAAAGGAGGAAAACCTTCTGAGCTGCCTTGGTTTCCTTGCCAGTAGGAGAAAAGTGGGATATTAATGTAATGCAACAGCAGCATTAATCATAGTAAAGATGATGGCAGCAAATTATGCAGTTTGCTACCACAAGATGTGATGGCTGCCAGGCTGGGATTAGACCAATTCCTGGGAAGCAGGGCCATCAATGGCTCCTAGTTATGATGGCTGTATGCTACCTACAGAATCAGAGGCACTGTGCTACACAGCCAGAAGACATACTTTTGCATCCATGTTCTGTTTCTGGGCTTTCCACAGTTATCTGGTTTGCAACTGCAGGAGCAGATTATTGGTCTAGGCAGGCTTTGGTCTGATTGAGAAGTGCTCTTCCTGTGTTCTTGGCCTATGAAATTTTGAGCCTTCGAGTACTTGGAACTTCCAATCCTTGGAGATGGTCCATCTCCAAAAGGAGTTATAAAAAGTGTTTTATTTGAGGTAATAGTTAATGCACCACTTTTTTTCTCTCTGACAGGTGCAAAGAACTATAGCAAAGCAGATTCAGATGGTGAAGCAGATTGGTAAAGGTCGCTATGGAGAGGTCTGGATGGGGAAATGGCGAGGAGAAAAGGTGGCTGTCAAAGTATTCTTCACTACAGAGGAAGCCAGCTGGTTCCGAGAGACGGAAATTTATCAGACAGTTTTGATGAGGCATGAAAATATTTTGGGTGAGTACAAGCAATTAAGGATCTCTATGTATTTTGCAGCTACAATCATAGAATATTTTGGGATTTTAAATGAACACACCAAAAGTTAAGAATACTCAAGGATTTGTACTAGCTCTCATGATCAGGTTTCTTCTTAGGTCTGGCTATTGCTTAGTTCAGTGGTGGGGAACCTATGGCATGCATGCCACAGCGGGCACACAGAGCCCTCTCTGTCGGCACACGAGCCTAGTCGCCCCAGCATCGCCCCAGCAGCTGAGCATCGGATAACAGTGCACATAGGGGCCACGCGCATGCTGGGAAAGGAGTAGCAGCACCAGACAATGACATCACAAGCCGTACTCATTATCTGCAAATTGTCCAAGCTTTCCCATGGCCGGTCAGAGCACTGCCAAAGGTGTATATATATTTGCTTGGAGTGGATGTGAGTTGTTTTTTCTAAAGAAAAACCTCAGTTTTCAGGTTTTATTGTAGTGTTGGCACTTTGTGAAAAATGAGTGGGTTCTGATTTGCAGTTTGGCACTCAGTCTGTAACAGGTTCATCATCACTGGGTTAGGGTTAGAAAAATGAGGTGCCCTGGCATGATTTTGATGGTTGGAATGTGTTTAGAAAGGGCAGCAATGTTGAGCTGTGCAGAAAAAGCTAAAGGACGGCTTTTTCAAAATCGCCTTCTTTTCTAAGAAAATTTTACCCTATATTAGGGTTAAGGGTGAGCACCAGGGTAGGGTTAGGGGTGTGTACCAGGGTGGGGTTAGGATTAACAAAATTAGGGATCCTGGGATGGCTTTGATGGTTGGAATGTGTTTGGAATGGGCAGAAACGATGAGCTGTGCAGAAAAAGCTACTCAGGGAAGGCTTTTTCAAAATCTCCCTCTTTCTAATGGAACTTTTCCCCTAAAGTAGGTTTAGGGCTGAGCACCAGGGTAGGGTTCAGGTTAGCAAAACGAGGGGTCCTGGCATGTTTTTGATGGTTGGAATATGTTTACAATGGGCAGAAATGATGAGCTGTGCAGAAAGAGCTACTTAAGGAAGATTTTTCACAAACGACCTCTTTTTAATGGAACTTTCTCCCTATATTAGGGTTAGAGGAGTCCACTTAGGGTAGGGTTAAGCCAGTGTTGACGAACCTATGGCATGCGTGCCACAGTGGGCTTGCAGAGCCCTCTGTCGGCACATGAGCCAAGTCACCCCAGCATCACCCGAGCATAACAGCGCACATATGGGTCATGTACATTCTTGGAAAGGAGTAGCAGCTCCATGCGATGAGATCAGTATCCACAACCCATTAGCCCGACTCATGCAAGCTTTTGCATGGCTGGTCAGTGCACTACCAAAGATAGATATTTGCTTATGGTGGCTGTGAGGTGTTTTTTCTAAACTAAAATCTAAGTTTTCAGTTTTTATTGTAGTGTTGGCACTTTGCGATAAATAAGTGGTTTTGGGTTGCATTTGGCACACTTGGTCTCCAAAAGGTTCACCATCACTGGCTTAGTTCCTGCATAAACAAGTCAAAGAAACAGCTTTGCATTGCAGCTTTTCTTCAGGATACAGTTTACAGCTTTCTCACCCTTCCCTCTTCCAGTGCCATCCAGTGCTGGACTGACCATCACAGTCAATCACAAGTCAGCATAACATGAGGCAGGGTGCTAGGAAGGATAGCACCATCATGTCGCTAAGCAGTCCTTTCTGTTAGTGGCTGCAATTTTGAGCACTGCAACTTCAGGAATTACGAATAGAATAGACAGGAAAAAATCTGTGCACGTCCTTTGTAAACACAGCCTTTTCTTTTCATGGGTATCTAAGAGAGACCAGGAGACTCCAGGTTCTTAAGGCCCTGGCTGTTGTCTTTAATAAGAGCACACTAATTATAAATGTGTAGTAAATTGTTTCATTTTCATACAAATGAATTTAATGATAAAAACTGAACTTGAAATACTAACATATGTAAATTTTGCATCTCTATGTAAGTTCTGCATTTTAATTTCCATAATTCTGTTTTCAAATAAAAGGTAGAGAAATTGCACATGTTCCAATAAACTTTGAATCTTTCTGTATGGGAAGTTTTTATGTTACCTGCTTGGATTTGTTTATCATCTTGACCAAAGTTCATTTTCAGTGATGAATCCAACTGTTTCATTAAGTTGGTGGATGCCAATACCAAATTCATCAAAGCAAATGTATCATCTTTAAGTTTGAATGATTATGTGTTAAGATGGCAAATGTAACTGAGTTTCTAATTTAGACAACATTTTGGTTAGGGTTCTTAATATACCATTGCCTTCCGTGCAAAAAATTGTTAAAAACTGAGGTCAGCTACAGAAGGAACCCAGTGAGTATAATCTGTTCTGTTCAGTGTAAAGTTGGAGACGGTTGTGTACATACAAAGTTAGGTACATGTAAATGCTGCATATAGTGTCATTTGAGGTGCTGCTATGAAAGCTCTGTTGTGTGCCTGAAGAGCTTAACCTTGCTGTCCCTTTAAGTATCTCCCTCACATTTGACTCTAAAACTCCAGTTTGTCTTGGAAGTGAAGCAAAACCTCAGACATACAAGGCAATAAACCATATGTGCATTGGCTGACCTCCATTAACATAGTATCTGGGAATGTTGCCATCTTCTGATTAGTTCCTAATGTAATTGTGTCATCCAAAGTAGACCCACTTGCCTTGGCCATCCTACAGGCTTGACAAGGGAAAGCTCTGTGCCTGATGCACTGCCACCGCCAGTAAACACATTAACCATCATTAACATAGCTCGGAGTTAGAGACCTGCAGCCAAAATATGCACATAACTAGTTTTTGTACAAGGGGAACCAAGCTGTATGTATACCCCTCTGCTTTGACCCTAAGAAAAGGCCTTCCCAAACACAAGTTTTTACAACAATTCACAGAATCTGCCCCTGTAGTTAAGATTCTGGACAGTTGACATTTACCCCTCCTAAATTAGCTCCACCCATTTGGTTGGAGTTGGTTTTGGTTAAATAATCTTAACCTTTGGATAAAGAGCCCGAGCACTTGTTGCTTTCATGTGCACGCACTGTTAGATATGTCCATGTGAGGGCACATGGTGACAGTGCTGCAAGCTTGTGTGAGAAGCCTTTGAAATTGTGTGAATATCTTTAACATGGAATGCAAAACAAATGGGATGTCTAGCTTCTTAGAACTATGCATGAAGTTACAACATTTTTACGGATGTCCTATCTTGGTTTCCCTTCCCAGGATTTATTGCTGCTGACATTAAAGGCACAGGGTCTTGGACTCAGCTGTATCTTATCACTGACTACCATGAGAATGGATCCCTGTATGATTATCTGAAATCCACAACCTTGGATACCAAAGCCATGCTGAAGCTGGCCTACTCCTCGGTCAGCGGACTGTGTCACCTTCATACAGAGATCTTCAGCACTCAAGGCAAGCCAGCGATTGCCCACCGGGATCTCAAAAGTAAAAACATTCTCGTGAAAAAAAATGGAACCTGCTGCATCGCAGACCTTGGTTTGGCTGTTAAATTTATTAGGTGAGTAAAATATAGGCTTTCTCGGAGAAACCATGTTTGTGAGCATGAAAAGAAACAGGTGTTAGTTTTGGCCTGGGGTTGGGCACTGAGTGGGTCATGCGCAGCTCCAAAAGCAAGAGGAATAGAAATAATAATGGAATTGGAAAAAAAGGATGACATGATTAAAAGTAATGGGAAAATGCAAATGACATGTTTGGCTAGAGAAGTCCAATTTGGAGCAAAGAGTACACTGCTCAAGCTGACAACTTCTCGCATATTCCCTAAAATCTCCGTTCAGAATTGTCTTATGACCATTGAAGTCTTCCATTGGGTGCCAGTGGGAGCAGCAACCCTACTTTCTGTTCCGTTCCATTCCTTTCCTTTCGTGATGCTTAACAGTGCAGTTGGAAACAATGCTATGTCACACCAGAGCACCATTCCTATTTGTGCATTCATTAGGACAAGAGCAATCAGTGGGCTTCTGTTGCATGCTTCACTGCCACTTTAAATGCTCTGTTGTTGTTTATAAAAAAGGAACACTTAAGGAAACCCTTTGCCGCCTTGTATCATATTGGTCTGTTTCCTAAATTGATCAACTTTGTTTCCTTTCCATAAAAAGCCAGCCTTCTTCTGCATTATCCCATCTCTCCCCTGAGTTATTAGTAACGGCCAAGCAAATCCATTAGTACAGCTGGTGAAAAAGGAAATTGGAGGCATTAGAAACAGAGCGAGTTGCACGAAGTGCTGGCTTTCGCGGTGGTTTGCTAGGTGGAAGTGCAGGGCCATCCTGCTATCCCGGCCTTTACCAGAATGCAGTGGTGGCAACTTGGGGTGCTACAGCAAGGACTGGGCAAATGGATCTTTGTCTTAACATGGGTGCCTGACATCATTGGCTCAACTGTCCACCAAGCAACCTTGTGCTTGCAAGCTGCGGCATCCCTCCAAAGTGATGGAAAATGAGTGGCAAGATATTCTCTCCTCCTCTTTGGCATGTAGTAGCAGCCGGTGATTCTTCCTAGAGATCCACCTCTTTGGCCAGCACCAGTTGCAGGAGCAAGCCGGACATTCAGATTTGGCTCTTTTTCAGGTGTGTCATTAGCAAGGCTTGTACTTATGGCAGAATGTTTTCTACACAGTGGCCTGGTTCATACAAACAGCACCTCCACGTGATTTCATCTGGGCGGCAAGACCTCTGGAGGCCCCTCCTATTCCCAGAGGAGATTGCATGGGGGCCAATGGATGTATGAACTGGGCCAGTATGAAAAAGTAAGTAAGGCGATAAGGTATATCTTTGACCATTAAATCTTTGACAGGAGTGAGAAGGTGCAGACAAATGTGAATCAGGCAAAGATTGTCTTCTCTGGAATGGCTAGGGGATTTTACTGAAAAGCATTTAGTTGATCTTTATTCTATAGTCTGCAAATTCAATTGCACTTCTTGAATTGCTTTCATAAAATGCAATTTTACTTTGAGACAATATTCAAAGGGAATTTAGTCACTTAAGAAGCTGTAAAGAATTTCTTTCCATTGGACTGTTATTCGGCATATTTGAGGAAGGTTGTCTACATACATTCACAGCAGAGAATAAAAGTACCTTTCTCCTTGGTGTCGCACATCTAAGATTATGAGTAGCAGAGTATTATATATACAAAAAAGAAATGGTATACAAACATATTTTCAAGCTATTGGAATTTGAGTGCACTGTACATAATACAAATGATTGTTTGCCCAAACAATGGCTCTTTCACATCCTTGACAACTTGTCACAGACAGCAGATGTGCTAGTGCGCTTGTGTCTGCACTGTGAGGGTTCCACTATGCAAGTAAAAGAAGTCAAACCTTGACTTTCCCAGGCTTAACTTTGGCAACTTTAACTTTGGCAGATTTGATTATTTGCGAATTTGCCATCAATAATGAAATAGGTTTGTGGCCTGCTGCAGCCTGCTGCCCACTTCTCCACAGCCAGCCACATGGGGAATGCTCTCCTTACCAGTTGCCATTGTGGCTGGCCCAGAATGGTGTGCTGGCCCCCAGCAAGGGCAGGGTGGCTGTGTGTGATGCTCTCAACAAGCCGCAGGACAAGCTCCTTCCAGAGCACAGCCTTGTTTTAAGCTAAAGGTTATTCAGGTTGCAAAAGAGGTAATTGTAAATGCAGCTACCAGTACCAATATGGTCAACAATATTAAGAGTTAAGGGTTGGAGGGGACTAGAAATATTCATGGCTTTTCCAGTTTTGTGGTAGCCCTGCACCTTTAACCCCTGTGAATATGGAGGTCTGACTATACATAAAATCCCTGAACAAAGAAAACTGGATGGGAGAATAATTATGGCTTCCTTCTCCTTGATCTTCTCATTTCTCAGTTGTTGGTTGGGGTGAGTCAGCATTTCATGATGTGGGTGTTCTTCTTGGCTGAAGTGGTACATCCCAGAGACAACTGTACTGTGTATAAGCATTGACTAGCCTGCCTCCACAGGGTATCTAGTCCAGTGCTGTCAACATGCAGCCGCATCTCCCCTGTTCCTTGTGGCTCTTTTTAATCACAGTGGCATGATTAAAGCATGCCGTGTGTTGACATCTACTTTGAAAGTTCAAGGCAAGGGTAGTTGCCATAGCTTCTGTTGTCCAAACCCACAAATGGTAAGCTGTTCACAACAAACAACCCACAACTCGTGTGACTTGAATGTTCAAAATGGCCACCAGCAGATGGTAAGCCCATGATGGCTTACATAAGTCACAGTGATCCACAACAAAAGTGTGTGTACCAAGTCTCTGACTTGGAGACACTTTCCAGGGATTTTTCCAGGCCTAACCAGAGGTGCCAGGGATTGAATCTGGGAATTTCCAGATGAAAGACATAGGCTGCCCCATCATAGCATCCCATGCTTTTCTAGTCATCTACCTCTTTTCCAAGCTGAGGATATTTTCCCTTAGGGAATGAGGAGGAACTGGCAGGTAGGAGCTGGGTTGCTTTATTGTTCCAAACCAAACATGTTCTTGACTATTGGTTTTGAGCAGACTAATTTATTAGGAGTGAGGAAAGTAAACAGTTGGTTGACCATCCTTGGTGGTGATAATACAGTTATAATTTATTTGCATTGATCAAATAAAACTATTAAAATCCTGCTGGGCATCCAAGTCTTAAAAGCTGATGGTGGTGTATCTGAAAAGATGAGACACAAAAGCAGCAGTGTGAAGGGTAGACTCTTTTGCATTTACAAGAAAAAGTCCCTACCTTACACATCCATCTCTGGAGAGAGATAGTTGCACAGCCCCAACATTTTGGAGTCCTCCTTGAGTATCTGAGAGTATTAGAAGCTGAGCCAAGTGAAGACAACCATTTTAAAGGGGGAGTTGATTGTTATCCTTGGCAAAATTCCATCTTGCTGCTGATAACATTTCAGAAAAGTTCCCAGCTTCACCTGCAGGCCTTAGCTCTGTTGTTCTGCATTCCAATGCCTGATATAGCCCCAGGCATGCAAGCCATTAAAACAGCTGCAACAGAAGAGGAGCCCTTGCTTGATCTTTGAGATGCTTTCTCTAGAAGTGTAATGACCATTAAGAGTAGCTGTTACTTCTGACCTTGCTCATAGATCAAAACTGTTAACCCTCTTTCAGTCTGAATTCAATTTTGGAGTAGCTGGAGTGGGGGGGGGGGGTGTCTTATTCTAGTTCTAGGTGGGGCTGAAGGCAGAAATGGGTAGGGCAAAAGCCAAACTGGTGGGCTGAAACTCTCCTGGTAATGCTCTCACTGCTAGTAAGGAAGCCCTACAAGGAGAGGCAATCAGCCTTCTAGTATAGGACAAAAATGCATAAAGACAGGGAAACTCCCAAGTGATTGGTAGTCAGCAGAAAAGTAGCGGGCCAGGGGAGAGTAGAGTGGCTGTTTGGGGAACCCTGGAGGGCCAGGTTGGGCTCAGGCAGGCTGGATTTGGCTTGAGGTTTGACATCCAATCCGTCCATGGCCTTAATTGAGAGTTATTTCCCATTTTCATGCCCCATTGAGTAGTTGTAGACACCATTTATTTCCTTTTTGTTTCTCCCCCATTTTTCAGTGATACAAATGAAGTGGACATACCACCAAACACCCGGGTAGGAACAAAACGGTACATGCCTCCTGAGGTGTTGGATGAAAGCTTGAACAGGAATCACTTCCAGTCATATATCATGGCTGACATGTACAGCTTTGGACTCATCCTTTGGGAGACAGCAAGAAGATGTGTTTCAGGAGGTAAAGGTCTTGTGTGTTGCTGCACACCACTGTATCATTTCTCTATCCTCTTTTAATAAGAAAGGCATTAAGAAGACCTTAAATAATGTGTTTTAAAGAATTGGGGGCGCTGAACTTACTTATTCTCCTTGCTTCTGCTGGGGCTTATTTTTCCTTTTCCGTAAGTCCGTGTTTCGCTGCAAAGATTTATGCTCTATTTTAATAGTCTCTCCTAAAGATACAATGTCTCCTAATTGGAATGGGAATTTGGAACTCATTTACTGGGCATTTCCAGAGTTCTAAACATTACAGCTAAAATGGGAGCACTCCTGTTGTTTATGCAGAAATACAGTGAGGTTGATTTTGCTTAAGGTGCCATGATTAACAAGGGGATTACTCAGCTTTAAGTGTAGAAAGACAGGCATTAGCAGGTGTTAGCTAGCATTAGGATGACTGCAGGGGAAAAGCAATGCTGATCTTGGATAAAACAGATTCCATATCAAAGAGAGAGATGGACACCTAAGCCCAGCTCCTCTAATTTCTTGTATTTTACCTCCTCTAGCTGTTTGCTGTATAACTGCTTTCAAAGCTTTCCTTTAGTCCCCTACAAATGGCAGTATGGGGATTTCATCTCCTAAGCTCAAGGCTTTTAAGCAAGATAGTTAGGTTCTATTGTAAGCAGTTGGATTTCTGAGGTTCAGCACTAAACATTCTTTGAAGAATGCATGGTGGAGCTGTGTGTGCTAAATAGCTTGACATTTGTGTAGACTTGCATAATCCAGATTCACATGTCCAGTGTCAGGTATGCTTGGATTTGCAGTCTCAAATATCTGGAGGGGAGCAGGTTGGACAAGGCGGCCGTAGGCATTTTTGTCAGAGGATGCACTCAGGTTAACTGGAGTTTTATCTTAGTGTCTCATTAGAAATTAGGCCTTTTGTGATATCGCCATGAAATAGACCCTTTCTTCAGAAGGCACCTGAACCATCTTGTGGTAGTTCTGTGAGGAGCTGGGTGCTGGAGTCGATTCAGCACTCTCTGCACCATATCCTAGCAAATCCAGTGCACCTCTTCATTGTGATCTTATTTATCCTGCAGGCCTCTTGTACCCAAACAACATTTGCTTACTCAATATTGATACAACTGGCAAATGGTATCTTTTCTAGGTATCGTTGAAGAATATCAACTTCCATACTATGACCTTGTGCCCAGTGACCCTTCCTATGAAGACATGAGGGAAATAGTATGTATCAAGAAATTACGGCCTTCATTCCCGAACAGGTGGAGCAGTGATGAGGTAAGAAGAGAACATTTTCAAAGTTGGGCAGGTGCTTTGGTTCTGCAAGTGTCTGCTTTAGCCACGGAAGCAAGCTGGTTTAGCTAGTATGTCATTTGAGAGTGATTTTGCCACCAATTCTTGGCAACAAATCACCTTCATTTTTGCTGCCACCACCATGAATTTCAGCAGTGCAGTAGTGGCAACGAGATTCACTGGTGAGTCGCATGCTGCCCACAGCCCATGAATTGCCTTTGGATTGTTTTGTTATAAGGTTTTCAAGGCAAGAAGATTCAGAAGTGGCTTACCATGGCTGCCATCTGCACAGTACTAACCAGAGTTAGCTTGAGTGTCATGGACATTGCCTGTAAAAGATCTTCCACCAGTGTCACCTTCAACTACCACTGCTGGCCTCCAGAAGTTTCTCCACCCCAATCTCCATTAGAGATATTCATTCTCTTCTGCTGATGTGACCATTCTTCCTGAAGAGAGTGGATGCATCCTAGTCTTTCTGCTTTGGCCATTCTGCCTTGGGTCATGCTGCTAGGAGACCAGCCTAGTGTGAGAGTGAGGCATCCTGGTGGTATTACTCTGACACTCTCAAACCCTTCGCCAGTACATCCAAGATAGGGATGCGTTGCCTCCTTGTGATTTATTTGCAAGCTACTCAAAGCGCCTGGACTGGAAACTTTTGAGAAAGTGGGAGGAACAGTGGAGCCGATCTTTGCTTTCCTGCTCTCTGAGTATTGTATTTTGCTTTTCACTAATGTTCTTGAGCCCATCTAGCCAGGGTGCTTTGGAAGGGAAGGGAAGTAGGCTGGAAAAGGTTCAGAATGAATCAAAACATGGTCTCAGACTCTTGACTTCCTTGCCCACCAGTTGCCCCTTGTTCCCATCTCTCTGAGACAGACCTTCTAATGACAGAAAAGCAGCCAGTGCAGTTCAGTCCACTGGTGCTGGGAGTCGGTGGAGAACTGGAACTCTGACTCAGAACGGTGACGTCTGTGCATTGTTTTCAGCCCCAGAGGGAATGTGGTCTCTGGGATCCTTGCCTAGGGGCCATAGAATTACTCTCTTATAGACTTAACCCCCCCCCTTTTTTTGCAATACAGAAGTGAATAATAACCCAAGATCTTCAAAGTTATATGCAACTATAAAATAGCTATAAAGGGAACAGTATTAAAATACTGAATCATGAAAGTATTCAGCAGATCGATTCTTTTTCAGCCTAACACCAGAAAGCTCAGAGATTAAGGGAAGTCTCCAGAATGAGGCCCATTCTTCTAGTATCTGCCTGTCATAACTTTGACAAGTTCAAAGTTATGGGGCCCTGGTGTAAAAGGATAGATGGTGTCACCCTTTGTCATGCCAGCTATATGTAGGGGTTTATCCCCCCCCCCCCCGCCCACGCCCAACTACATGAAAAATTCCACATTTAGTTTTTCCCTTAGTTTTTGAGATAACCAATTGATGTTGGAATGAAATGCAGCAGCATTTATAATCTGGTATTTGTGTTATTTCTGGTGTCACCAGTGCTAAAAGTTAGATTAATAATTTGCCTTTATCAACCAGAGTTTATAGCTACGGTTTTGCAGAGAAATTCAGTGGGCTAATGCATTCTAAGTGCACCTGATATGCACTTGGATTTCTACATCAACTGAAATTGGACTGGGAGATCTTTTCATTAGCAAAAAGGATGTTCTGCTCTTTACTGGCCTTTTCCTCTTGAAAGAAGGTCCATAGATAGGCTGTGACAGATGCTCTGGGTAGAACTGTTCCTCCTCTATGTGCAAACTCCTAAAGACCGGTTAGCAGATGGCCTTTGGCACCTTCCTCTTCTAGTAGCCATGCATGCTTGTTCAAGGCAGTGCAGTAGTTGAACTCTCCACTAGGCAGCCCAGTTACGGGTTGTGTTTAGTACACTGTGGCCTGAATGGTCTGGTTGGATCCATAAAAGGACATGGAATTGATAACGAAGGGAGGCAAGAAGCTGGGCCAGAAATCCATTGGCTATATTACAGCTCTGTAGTCAAGATGTCAGTCTTCCTCCAGCTTGAGGCTGCATTCAATTTTGGAGGAATTTCTGTGGTGGAGTGCTGAAGGGATGGGGCCAAAATACCCCAAACAGCAGCATAGTTTAACTTAAATCTCTCACTGACAATCATTAAGCTTTAAGTAAGCTGTTTCAGCCTTTTTAGAATAGAGAGAACAGGAAAAGCTCAGGAAACCACCAGCCAATGAATGGTTGTTGCCACAGGCAGGGGGCATGGCCCTTAGAGGAACCTGATAGGTTCAGCTGAGAAACATTGGCCAAGGACCACAGACATACTCTGCAGGAGCATCTCATCTGTTCATAGCCCAATTCAGGTACTCTCTTACTGGGCTTAACCAAGAGAGGAAGAGAAGGAGTGCTCCATCTCCTCTCTGGGCACATCTGTCACCTCTATTCATGGAGGGTGACTGGAGAGACTCCTGTGGCCATGGAGGTGCTCCATGCTGGAAAATCCCGGTAAGAGAGTACCTGCATAGGCCTTTATTTACTTCTTAGTCTAGCATTGAAGTAGGCAATACAGAGCTCCACAGATGCTTTGGAAGCCCACTGCCAAAGTATCTGATGGCTGACGGTGGTGACCACTATATGTGGGAGGTACAATCCTGAACATCTGGTGGGCACCAGGTCAGCGAGTGCATTCCAGCATGACAAAAGAGTCATACAGGTGTATTCAGTCATCTACACACCCCATGAATAGGTTGCAAGAATTTGATAAATGTTTTCTGGAAGGGGGGTGGGAGTCTTGAGAGTCCGTGTGTGAGTTTTCTGCTCTCCTTTCCCCTTTTGTTAATTAATACAGGAAATTGCTTTTCAAAGCTGTACTAGTATATTCCTGTAGGGGAGGGAGGCAGTTGTCTGAACTCTTTCCACTGAGAATTTATAATGAAGCCAAATTGTGTTTTGGAATCAGTAGACCCATAATTGATGTATCACAGACAAATCTGCCGACAGTTATGGTGATGCTACGCAGAGGTCATTAATCTTGTTAAGTGGTACAGTGTAATGCTATTATTGTAGGAGACAGCTGTGATTGGGGAATAGCAGTCTTCGCTGAAGTATTCTGCAATTAGATTTAAAAAGACTTAAATGGCAAGAGTTGTAAACGATCCTGAGTGAGTGGGGGAGGTGCTTAAAAAACCCAAGGAGGAACGAATGTCATACCAATGTAGATTAAGAAAATCTGGTATTTTAGGCATTTGGCCCCCTTTCCCATCCCCCAGAGAAAGCTTTTTCAGGGAGTTGCTGGCTTGCTGTAATCACTATGTTCTAGGGTTCTATCTGAAGGTTTGCCTTAGAAGTGATGCAGTGAGCATCATGCTGACGGAAAGATTGTCCAGCTAGGTGCACATAAATCTCCCCTTCATTACCTCAGTTTCAACACTTGAACTGTTGCACCAGACTGACTGACTTTGTTCTTTCCATCTCTTGCCCTTGTTTGTCCCTTCAAAATGGCTCCAAGAACCAAATCTGTCCTCTCATCTAGGCTTCCCCAAAGAAGTTTTGGGTTACAACTCCTGCCAGGCCCCAAGATGCATGGGCATAATGGGGGTTCGAGTCTGTCTGTACTGGAAAAAAGAAACAGTCAGGTACTTTGGGAGCTTAAAAATGAGAGTCTTAGGCTTTATTAGAATGGATCTCAGAAACACTGCAAGAGAGAAGCCCCCATGAATCTGCCCCAGTGACTCTGCCAGAAATTTATATATGTTACAAAGTGTAACAGAAAGCATAACCAAATTCACAGGGCTTTTCCAGAGTTTTTCATTCTGTTTTCTCTTAGAGACCTTGCCACAAAAAGCAGCAACTAGCTTATCTCAAGAGAAGAGATTACAGTGTTTAGTTAGGGCAGAGATTACAGCATTCACTCGCAGTCAGGCCTCTAGCTTCTGTTATCTTCTTCCATACTGTTTCTGATTTAATGTCATTCTTTCCTAATATCTTTCCTGTCACTGATTCCTAGCAAGTCCAAAACCTCTGGAGGGCATCAGTGCCTTAGGAAAGGCTGCCCTAAGTCAGTCCATCCTCAAACCTTCACACTTGAACTGGCTCTGCCTATTCTAACTCCTGTTAAAGTTGTTTTCATGAGACATAACCTCCCTTGTGTGTATCTGACCCAGCAGTATCAGCAGGTAAGGATCATGCCTACCTGCATAGATAAAATAAATGTCAAATCAAACTCTGGAGGCGAACAAGGAGAGTATCTTGCATGGGGCTGTAACGGGTACATGCAGCCAGAATGGCAGACTCACAGGCGAGGCTGCTGCCCCCAGTGCTGGTGGGGCTCCACATCCATTGCAACCTTCCTTTTTAGCTCTACCGGAGCTTTGGAGCAGCTGTCCGTGGTGCTGAGCACCAGCCCCATATTTGGTTCACCCCGTGTAGCACCATGGATAGTGCTTGTAAAGTGGAAGAGAAAAGCTGCAACAGATAAGAAACCTCACCTCATCTTTGCAATAAAATGCAAGTTAATTGTGTGTGTGTAAGGTAGCTTCCATGTACAGTTTACCTGAGTCCTTGGCATATGTCATTTGCTTGTTTTTTGTGTGAGTGTGTGTAATACATATATATTTTTCCCCTTTCTGCAGTGCCTAAGACAAATGGGGAAACTAATGACAGAATGCTGGGCTCAGAACCCTGCTTCTCGGCTCACAGCCCTCCGAGTAAAGAAAACACTTGCCAAAATGTCAGAGTCACAGGACATTAAGCTTTGATTTGGCTGGCAAAAGGCACCTTTATGCTAAAGTGCAGAAAAATGGACTTTCCTTCATGTTTCAAAGAGACAGGAAGAATTATTACAGGCTTTCACTAATAATAAAAACCTTGAATGCAGACATTTGACAAAGCATCTGTATGCTGGTGCAGAAACCTTTTTCAGAGGTGAGAGTGGGGAAGTGCGGCACTGTGAAGAATTTTTGGTCCCTGTTCTGCCAAATGAGAAGATGCTTGGCCTCTTTTGGGAGCGGCAGGAGAAGTGATATGGTTACCTGCTTCAAGATTATGCATGCTGCTTTCTATGAAAGCCCATATTAATATTATTGTAATTGTTATTGTTGCTGTTGTTATTTGGGTTGTTTAATTTTCCTAAAAATGAACCTTTGAAAATGCAAAGTATAAGAAAAGAATTATATTGTACTACTAAAGAAAAAAAATCAGAGTTGCCTCTGAAACCTCAAAGTTCCTGTATTGTTTCCTATTGTTAGATAAGACTCTTGCACTCCAAGATAACTCAAAACCCAACTTGTTTCAGAAGTGAAAAGCAAATATAATAGCAACCATTGTATAAGTGATCATCCTTGCGTGTCTGAATGTCGGCTTCCCGTGTAAGTTGTAAGATCATGTATCTGATGGAAACCACCCGATTTGCTGCCAAGCAGTGCCTTGTACCGGAGTCTACTATTCTTGTGTCCCCTGCGCAAGTGTGTCACATTTCTGTGTCTTCAAGGAACTTCCATCAGAGGAATGATATGCTCTGGCCAGACTCCTTGGGCAAACCCTTTACACTGATCCCATGGAAGCCGATGGGAATTAAAGTACAGCCATTCATTTAATGGGGTTTATGCAGGTGAATGTAGGTGACACTTACACCCTTGTGGTCCACCTGGCATTTTATACTCAAAACAATGTTATGCAATGAATGTGAATTAGAACAAGTTTAGTAAAATATGAAGTTGTATTTTCTTAACAGCCTTCTTTTATGACTGGAACATGAAACTGTTCCCAGTGTTGCATCAAAAACCCTCTGTCTTAAGAAAATTGTATTAAGAGTATAAACAATGTTGGCATAAAAGGAAGAACTTTGTTTGAGGTCTATCTGAAGATGGTAAGCTGTTACTGAAAGGTAAAATAAATGCTTTAAAAGTCATGAAGTAAGCATTGATAGAAAAAAGAGGTCTTATTTTTCTTTTTCTTTTTAAAAAGGGGGGCTTTCTTTCTTCCTGCTTAAAGAAAAAAAAAATGACAGAATTATTTCTGCAAAATGAAGAGAGTAGTATACATTTGAATATTTGACCAGATCCTTCTTTTGGCCCTTGCTTAAGTTCTCACAGGAGTCTCAGAAAAAAAAGCCAAAGGAACAGAACTTTCCTGTTAGAATTATTCTCTCTCCCTCCCTCTCTACACAAACTTCAAAATGTTGGATTGCCATTTCCCTCTTTCTGTAATTACAGTCAAAGATGCACTATCAACTTGTAGGACTGTTTCATGACAGACTCGAAAGAATGGCAAGGATTTGTACATGCACCAGAACTTTCGACACTCTGCTTCTTCATGCAGACCCACCATACTCAAAGTCGAGGAGGTATGAATGGCGTTCAAAGCAATGTGATGAATGGGATTATATACAAAATCTGGCCCAGTTGCATCTGCACACAGAAAGCTTTTCTGCACGCACATCAGCTCTTTTAAACTTGGCCTTACTCTGACATTGCCTTTACCGTCATTCATTATGCTTTCTCCTGAATTCATGCTTTCTTAGGCAAAAGCTGCCCATTTAAAAAATGCTAAAGCAATACACTTTGAAATAATAAAGCTATAAATGAAGTAAAAGCACAATCCTGTTCCATATTTAGACAGAAAAATTTCATACAGTTCTGGCACACTGCAACCAGCAGTAGGACTAGTTTCTGTATAAACATGCATAGGATTGCACCTTAAATCATTTTAATAGTTTTGCCCTATTGCAGCTGACTTAAATATGCAAATGGTGTATGTGTGTTCCTTCAGTTATCCGTCTCCCCACATTAGAAGTATTGCTGAAATACATAGATAGAATATTGATTCAATTTTTTAAAATCTAATTGGTCTGTAAAATTTTGAACATGAAGTTTAGAAGTTTTAAGTTAATGAGGAGCTACACTTTTCTGTAACTTTTTCAATTGAAGACACTTTTAGAATTTTAATCCGCTAGGGGGTGCTATGCAGATTCAGACTGTGTGAGCACTGGGAACTCATGAGCAGGTCATGGTGACTTGGAAGAGCAAAACCTCCTCCTTGCTAAAATAGCCTGGATCCTGCATATATACTGACTAGGCTTCTTCCTTGCAATGTTGGTGGATGTAAATATCTAAAAAGTGAAAGCCACTGTAGTGTAGTGTAGTGATCAAGGCAGCAGGAGTGGGATTCAGGTGGTTTGGGTTCTAATCCCCCTCCACCATGGAGTTTACTGGGTGATTCAGGGCCAGTCATTCACTTTCAGCTCAGTGTGCTTCCCAAGGTAGTCAGAAGAAGATTCCTTGGAAAGAAAAGAGGCAGTATATTAAATAAATATTGGAAGAAAAGCATAGTGTGTGAAAAAGTGCAAGTTGGTGTAGGGAGTTTGAAATCATATAAGGCACTGAACGTCATAGAGGAACATTACTGCATCTCTGGATGGTTGGGAAGATACACTTATGAGACATTTGCGTAGTTTTGCTAACAGGAAGGTAGTATAAGGGGAGCCGTCATGAAAGATTTCTTACTCAAGAATTGCCACAAATGCTATTAATGCTTCAAAACCTGAATAGGCCTACAGCTGTGGTCAGTTGAGCATGGCTGATTCTCATTGATTTGGCATAATTTATAGGCTATTCTGAAATCCATTTGACTTCTGAAGGTATTAGTTGCTTTTGCATGAACATTTCTGTTCCAAAGCAGAGTCAATCATGCACAAAGCCAGTTTCTTCATAAATTGTGCCTTTTTTCCTTCCGGATGCCTTGTGTTTCGACAGCTTGCCCCATAGATTACCCACGGCATGGATGGTGATTAGCTCTAATGGAAGTTGAGAACACAAAGCCCTGAAGAATTTCTGACGTGGTTAGGAGCTCTACTTATAACAGAAAGGGCTTTCAAATAATTTCCCTTCACACACTGGTTCACGAAATGGCTGTATGTACAATATATATTAAATTTATTAAATACGGAATGGCTGGTTAAAAAGTCAAAATGCTTTGAGTTAAACCTCTGTTCACATCATGTTCTTTCTGGTCCATGGGTCATCACAAAAGAATTAGTGGCTCTGGGTCTAATGCTGCCACGGCCCTTGGTTGGCAATGTGAGAGCCCTCACATCAGTTGCGTATCTCCCCTTTCTTTTTGTGGGGCTGGCATTTTGAGACGGGCAAGTTCTGGCAGCCACAGCAAATTACCTGAGAAGGACACATCTGAACATTGCCTCCAAGGTTAAATGCAACATTTTTAAATGCAAATGCAACATAATATTTACCACCAAGTTATAACAAGCAGACTGTGTCAAAAATAGGCAGTTAACTGGCTTCTGTGTGCAGTTCCTACTGTGATGAAAAGTGTGAACTATTCAACATGTTTACAACTTAAGTCTGTTTGCCATGTCACTAGAGTTGCCAAAAAGTGATTTAACAATGGCAAGGGAGATATATGTGCAATGACATTCTGGGTTAGCCACACACACAGTGTAAGCAATGTTTCTTGGCTGTAGGCACATGTCAATTGGCAGAGGACACAGCCCTCTTCTAAGATCTCCAGTTTTCTCCACTTGTAGGAGCTCTACTTTTTCTTTTTTTCCCCTTTCCACGTTTCCCCTTTTCCTTTCCCCCTTGGACATCCTCTTTCCTCCACTCCTTCCTGCGTAGAGTCTCCCTCCCCCACCATTTCTCCTCCCCTATTCCTTGCTCACTACTCCCCTATCACCCTTCTTGTTCCACCACTCATTTCCACCTCCCCCTGAGCACAGCTAGGAAGCTGGAAGCCAGAAGACCTGGAGACAGCATTCTGGGTGGGCGTCTGGCTGCTGAGCACAGTGGGGAGCCCAAGGGACAGAGGGTTCAAATGGTAGGAGAAAGCTGGTGCCCAGGTTGGCAGAGTCAGGGGTCCTGGTAGGGCCCCAGTTGTCAACCCCTGCACCAAACCCATCAGGTCATTGTGCTAGCACCAGTTAATCACAAGGACATGCATGTTTTACCATTCAGAATCATGACTTGCATTTCCACCCCTCCAACAAAAGTAAGTGTTCGTGATCTGAGATAACGTTCCTTTTTTTGCTGCTGTTGGGGCTCTGTGTGTTGGGACTCTCTTGACTTTCAGCTTGAAAAGGCACAAAGAGGGTTCTATGTGCTAAAGAAAGAAGTCATTTCCGGATGGAAAACTACCTTATATAATGCTTTCTGATATAAAAGGATTTTAAGGTGCCAGTTTTCATAGGCCCTCGAATGTGTATATGTGTTTTATTAATTTGGATGTTCATGTTTGGGAAAAAAAACCTGACGTGTGTTTTACGAGTGTCCTCAAAAACCACAAGTATTTAAAAATTATGTCATTTCCATTGGGAATTGGAATAATTCTATAATGTACAAAATATTAATGATGATAATGCACTGAATTCAATAGTGTAATCATAAAGGGCATAATACTAAAAATTGTATTTGCTCTAGTGTTGTCCCAGTACATGAATGACCATCTTCCTGCTCACCTGCTGTCACCTCCTGTGTTAGACCCACTGAGATCAGACTGTGGCAATGTGATTCTTCAAGAGTACGGAAATGTCCCACATCGATGTTGTAAATTGCTTTTAGCACAAATCCCTAATTGTACTACATAGTTACTCGTGAAGATCGCCCAGCTCTGATTGTTCCAGTCCAACTGGGCTATCATCCTCCCATTTATTAACTGTTTAATTTCTTTCCTCGTGGGTTGTTAAACTCGGACATTCTCATATTTCAGGTCCTCAATGTCTGTCATCTTGCTAGTTCAGGCACCAGTGAAAATAAAATCTAACATAATTTTAATACTTTTCAGGGAAAAGTAGATGGAAATGTGTAACTAATGAGATTATCTCAATGGCAGTTCAAGGAGAGCAACTGTTTGTTTGTGCTGTGCTAATAAAGGGCTATTTCATTTGGACAAAAGACTGACAAGTTTTTTTTAAATGATACTGCTTTGTGTTCTTTTTTGAGAACCAGTGCCTTAATCAGTCTGTAAATACTGTAACTGTAAAAACTAGGGAACAAGCCTGTGTTGTAATTGTTCAAAATAGTGTATGTCTGTTTTAACATTCCCTAAATAAAATGATTTCCGTTCCCCATTTAAATTGATTTAATTCTTTCTAGATAGTTTGAAGTCTTTGAAACTCCCAGAATTATTTCCTATTCAGAGACGCATTCTCTATGCGAAATTAATGTTTCTTGTTAAAACCACCCCCATTTGCCAGCTCAGGAAACATGACACAACTGTTGAATTCTTCTCACCAGCATCTGGTGGCCATCCTTCTAGGAAGTGCCACCTGTCAAGAGACTTGTGCCGCTTGGGCATGCAGATGCAGCCCTGAAGACCTTTAAGTGGTTAAAGTGGTCCAGCCTAACCTCATCGAGCCTAACCTGGTCAAGCAATCCTGCAGTGGAGGAAAACTAATCCTGTATCAAGGCAAGGCCCATGGTGCTGGAGAACATTTGCTCCACCTGATGGCCAATTGGTGTATGGCATCCCACAATGCTTTACTCTACCTTATGATCTTCAGCATGACATCATAAAGGTAGGACATCTGGAGGTTCATCTCGTCAGTATGAATATGGTACTCTGATCTACCTGTTCTTTCCAAATACCTTTCCCAAGGACACTGTGGAGGTCTTAAACCAGTGCCTGAAAGCAGTTTGGGGTTTGAAAGAGTGAACAAATGGAGATTTAATCCAGATGAGTTGGAGGTACTGTGTTTGGGTGAAGTGCCTATGCCAGATGAAGGCTGACCCTGGTCTTGGACCTCTGGGTGCACAGTTGTAGAATTCTCTTCTATGGTAAGCAAGGACCATCGGGTAGCAATGGAGCCAGTGTGGTGCAGAGTGTCGGACTGGGACACTGGCGATCGGGGTTCAAGTCCCCATTTGTCCCTGAAGCTGATTAGTCACTGACTCTCAGCTTAACT